AAATGTTGAAAATAAAGAGAAATTTAAATCATCATTAACCAGAAGCTGATTGTGCCTCCTCGCTGTTTATCTTATCTACATTTTACATTTACATTTAGTCATTTAGCAGACGCTTTTGTCCAAAGCGACGTACAAGGGAGAGAACAATCAAGCTAAGAGCATTAAAAAAACCTGGTGTAACAATAAATACTGCTTATAAAACGACATAGAAAGAATAAAAAAGAAGTGCGGGCCTGTTACTGCTTAAGTGCAGGTTAAGCCAAGGTGCCAGTTAGGAAGGGAGGTGCTCTTTGAAGAGTTGGGTCTTCAAAGAGCTTATCTACTCATACAACATAAAAACTATTTGAAATCTATGACAATTATTCAAATGATTCTGGGAGAAAAGCAGCAAAATGTCAAGAAAACGGAGCCATGGATTTCTGGCCTTTTCTTTTTTTCATAAAAATGACCTAAACGTTTTGATTAAAGCTGATGCAACTACATTTACGTTCATTTGAGCTTGTTGTTAGTTTAATCTGTGACAAAGCATCATAATTCACTGACCCTTCATGCAAAGATCTTAATTTGTAAATGAAGTAGTAACCTCAGCTGTCGAATATAAAGTGGAAAGTAGAAGGAAAACACAACAGAGCATATAGTATATTATATGAACTGTTGTTTTCACCAGGAGGGGGCACCGGTGTTCAGTGTTTACAGGCGGAACCTTTGCTCAGCGGGACGGACACTTTATTGTGACGGACTAACATGGCCGCACTCAGAAGGGGCGCCGCCTACTTCTTCAGGTGAGATGTTTATCACAGAAACATCATGTTAAACAAACTGAATGAATCATTTCCTGTTTCTTTTACACCGAAATAAGTGAATGTTAAACATGGCGAGCTGTTGTTGACTCTAACGTGTGAGAGTGAGAAGGTTCAGTTTGATAACAGCGCTGACGACGGACCTGACTCCTTCACTCGGTTTTTCTTCGCCTTACATTGACATAACTGTGTTTATTGTTAGAGAATCATGCACAAGTGGCCGAATTATGAATATATTAGATGTCTTTGTCACTATGTGAAGACTTGGTAGTATCTTAGTATTATATTCTAACTTATTCGCATCCACACAGTAACTTCCTGATTGAGACAGACCAATATAAATGCTATAAATGAAGGGACAGTAGATGTAAACTAACACAGATAGGGACGTGAGTAACGACTGGATGTTCTCTGAGGAAAGGAGGAGTGAACTGTACCATTTAGTAAATACTGGGTATGGACAGGGTACAACGCAGTGAAAAAGAACTGAAGTGTTTGGGGGAGAGCTATATGTTTTATTATGATAATAATGTTCATATTATTTCAAACAGAATAGTTTTAACATTTGCAGGTTTAAGCTTCTCTCGTGTGATCATTTGCTGCTTTCATTTGTCATTTCTGACTTGACACTCTTTTTGTATAAAATAAGTCGTTTGAATACACCACCTTGAGTTTTAAGAATCTATTACAGCAGATTAATTAAAATGGATGTTATAGCTTTATACAAACTATAAGAAAAATAGAAATCAGCCACAAATTATATTACAGCCCACATACCATTTTCTTACTGTATAATTAAAATGATGATTATGTTCCTAATTTAACATTTAAGTTTAGCTGTGTGTGATTAAATAAAACATGTATATTTATTTTATTACTTTATTATTTTATTATACAGTTCATTCTCCTTGAATGGCAATGGAAACCTTTCAATTTCACTGATTATCCAATGAAATATGACAGTACATTCTTAATTCTAAATAGTGATAATAAATCCCTAATCCTAAATTTAACATGAAATGACTGTTTAGATTTAAAACTGTTGATTTGTTTTTCTTCAGGAGTTCTGCTCGTGTCCTGTTCAACTGTAAAAATACTGCGGTGCATAAACCGAGGAAATGGACAAATGTTCTGTACACAGGTATAGCATCTTTAGCTGTCGGCGGCGGGCTGTGTGCTGTACCTTTCAAACAGGTGAGTCTGTCACCGGTCAGAAACAGAAGCATGTAAAAATGACAGCAGTCGTATACAGTTTTCAACTGACAGGACACATTTATCTTGTGTATTTTTTGCAGCAGTGAAAAGTAAGTAAGTGCAAAACTTTAGTACAACTTGAGGTATTCAAGCATACATTTGATTAGGAAATATAGCTGTCACTTGTTACTTTGCAGTGTAAAATTTTTACACAATATTTTTCTTTTTTCCAGAATTAATCAGTTCTATTTCAATCCATTAATTTAGATGCACAGGGTGCATTTTTTTCTCATTTGTGAGAAAAATTTAAAAATGTCTTATTGAGATTGGGGCTCTTGTCTTACTTTTTTGTTTCCCTCTTATGTCTGTGCTGCAGGTTGAACAGCTCTCTCATGACTCTCTGATCAGACGAGCAGCATCTCTGGTTACAGACAGTTCAAGCACTTTTCTCTCACAGGCCACCTTAGCTCTCATAGATGCCATCACTGATTATTCAAAAGTAAGTCTTCATCTTTTGGTCAACATTTTTTTCTTTATTGAATTCTTATGTAGGTAAAATGTTTTGTTATATGTATATAAACTCATATCTGTCAGATATTTAACCCTAAACTAAAAATATTTCAGAGATTAAGAGCAGATTAGATGAGAGTTGAGTTGTCTATATGTCACCCAAAAAAACACCAATATTTATAACTATATACTGTATACACCAATATTTATAACTATATATTGTATAAATAATTCCACACTTTAATGAAGGGATAAGCATTTTTGAGAGTTGTGGTTTGATTCCAGATTGGTGATCTCTGTGACTTTGGTTTCCACTCCAATATATGAGAGGGGGAAGTAAAAGAAAAATCTGAATTTATAAACTACAGTTAAAGAAATGTCCATATTCCTGAAAACCTTCTTATGTGCTTCTCTGTCACCATGGTTGTTGTTTGATTTAAATGTAAACTGTGCATGTTCTCCCTATGTTTGCGAACAGGCCGTGCACACACTAGTTGCTCTGCAAAGACGATACCTGACCTCACTGGGAAAACTGAGTGCAGCGGAAGAGGATTCAATCTGGCAGGTGATCGTTGGCCAGCGGGCAGAGGTTAGTTCGTTTATGTTGTTCTCTTTGTTGAAAAGTATTTCTAAACATGTCTGTTGTTCAGGTAATTTATTGAGAGCCACTATGTAAATATCACAGCTGACCTGTTTCACTTGGGTTTTATAATTCTCTCTGTACTGTCAGGTTAGTGACAGACAAGATGAGTGCAAGCGTTTCGAGTCAACTTGGATCAGCGCGGTCAAGATGTGCGAGACGGCAGCGGAGGCAGCATACACATCAGGTGTGTAAAAGATAAAATGTGTGTGTTGTAACTCAAGGATGTTTGATGTTATGATTTGCAATGTAGAGGCCTGTATTCTCAGGATTCCTGTAAAGCTGTATAAGTGTAAAGCTTTGAATCATCCTCTCAAAGCTTTGTACTTTGTGGTTTGTGCCTGTTCCTATTCATCAGCTGTCAGTCTTACACTTTGGACAGTGTACGGATCATTTGCTGCCAATCAGCGGAACTTTGTGAAAAGCAGAATGGAGATGATGGACAGCGGCGTCTCCCTAATGCCCTAACTCAAGGTGGTGTTATCTCAACCCTTGAATTTTGTGTTTACTTCTATGTGTTTCCAGGAGCCGAGCATGCATCCATCACGATGAATACAAACATTCAGGTGGCCCTTTCGCAGGTGGAGGAGGCACAGAAGCTGTCTGCGGACGCAGAAAAGAAGTTGACCGAGACAAAAGTAATGGAGATTGAAAGGATGGCACAGCATGCTGCCTCCGTACAGAATAATGATGAGGAAGAGATTCCTGAAGCTTATCTGAGAGAAGACTAAAACAAACATGCAGATGTATCAGAAAACAGAGGAGAGTAAAACAAATATTTTATCATTCCTACACTGTATTTTTCCATTTTGGGTCTATATATTTAATTTACAATGTCTCATTCATCATACAATGTGCTCAAAGTGACTCTGAATCAAACGATCACAAACATCCCACCAATCATCAGGTTTGTTTACTAAAGACTATCAACTGCTGGTGCGGGACTGAGGATTCTGTTTTCTCTCTACTGTTTATTGTGTTGGGATTTGGATTTTTGTTGACATGTTGTCAGAAATAATTGTAATAAAGACAAAACACAGTATAAAGACATAAAAACGTTTGTCTTTTGTCTTTACATGATGCAGTGGCATCAGAAAATGTAAAGATAGCATTTCATTTCATGCTTACTAGATGAATATTTTGTTTTCGTAAGTGATGCGTCGATCAGATTCTGTGTTGTGATGCAACTGTTTATTTTTGTGACGCTGCAGACTCAAAAGCATGTAAAATATTGAGCAAGTACAAAAAAAGTGACAGAAGCTACTTTATAAACACCTTGAAACCAAGACACAACACACACAATTGGCCAAATAACATTCATTCATTGTTAATGTTATGTAGTGTTATGTTGTGTTATGTTTTGTTGGTGCAATTGAATTTCCCGCTGACTGCCTCTCACCTGTTCCTTTGAGACCATCATCCATAAAGGTAGTGTTGCTTTACTTGTTATTTGTATCTGTCTTTTTCACTCAACAGCTCTACCCTCACTGCAAATTACCCATGGCCTGACTTTCTCCCGCAGAGCTTTTAGGCTGTTCCTCAGCTCCGAACTGTCGTCACTTCATTTACAGCCTCATCTCTTTCTACACTTTCACAGAACAGAAAACAATCTGGCCCTCTTTTATTAACCGAGAGAATATATTCCATAACTGGACAGATTTGATTTGGGCACATGCTGCACAATTATATTGATTAGTCTAGTTTAGGCGTATGTGTGGGAAAGTAAGTGAGATGAACACAGACTGGCCTCAGTAGCATGCAAGTAGAACTTCACAGGCTGCATAACAATTTCCCAGATTAACTCATGATGCAAGTTATTCTATTATCGTCTTTTACATGTCCTCTTTATAAGTTTAATGATAGGGTCAACATTTTTAAAGTCTGTCTTTCAAAATTGTCAAATGCCCTTGTGAACATTAAAGTTGGTTTTACTGGCAGTTAATGTCTCACCAATCTGAGGGTGACAAAAAGTCCTCGTCCTGTGAAAACCTTTTTACCTGACCACTGAGGCCTCTGAAAGCTTCAGATGGATTTTGGAAGTGCGTTCTGTTCATATGGTCACGTCTGTGAACCTACCCTTTAATTCCAGCAGATGGCGATCTAAATCTACAACATTTTTATGTTTCTGCATCAACTGAAATGTATTTAATGTCATTATTATTTCATGTTACATATTTTTGATAATGAAAAATATGACCTACACTTTTTTCTTTGCCGTTTACTGCAGACCCTGGTGCATACACCTACATGTGCAAGTGTTTTTTTAAGCTAGTGCATATAATATAAAACAGCATGATTGTTCATGAACTAATCTGTTTAAATCCAAACTGTAATTAACTTCCGCCATCTTCACTTCCTACTTATGCTCCTTTAGTGCATAGATATTGGAGAAACTAGATTTCAAAAAAGATACATGTAACCTCCATGTTTGCCACCATATACAGTTGCTATCTTTCATCAGTGTTAATATGCTCTGTAACAGGTACGTTCTCCTAATTGTATCGTATGCCTTCCAAAGGTCAGCATGCACTGCAGAGGGTCATTTCAGAGGGAGCTCATTATGGGGAAGACCTATGTGGAGCTGCAGGCACGATTGTGTAGCGACAGCAGTGAGGTGACCTCTTCCTTCTCTGGATGGTCAGGACTCGGCAGGGGATGATTGTATGTGTGTGTGTGCGGGTGGGGGGTGGGTGTGTTTGGTGTGGGAGGTTTGAGGTGTGCAAGGACCGGCTCACCAATGTGACTAGTGAGGAATGTTGTGTTTAACAAAGACTGTTTTCACAGACTGTAAAACCAAATGTCCCAGACAGTCTGTGCGGACATGCACACACTGGTCACAGGAGAGGTGGTGCCAGTGCAGCCCTGCCTGACTGGAAGAAAATGCAATAGTGCTTACTGAGAAGTATTTTTGCAGCATAAAATCTAAATGAGGTAACCACAATTACAAAGGTCATGGGCTGTAAATGCTCATAAACTATTTAGTACTACTGTAGGGGGACTGAGCATTTATGCAGCATTTATGCAGCACAAGTTTTGCCTGTGGTATGAAATGAGCCTCACTGAAAGTTTTTCATCCAAATCTGTGATATCGTTAACACATTAATTGTTTTGTGGAAGAAAATAAGATGTGATTTATCATCTCATAAAGACACAAGCCTCCTTGCTGCACTGATTTTACAGTTCCAATGCAAAGTGGCTCAGGAGGGGAGATTGATTGGTGAAAAGGGCAGCACTTTCACCTGGGGATTTATAGCTCTTTGAGGATATAAATAAACCACCAGAGGGTATAAAGGCAGGGGGTACAGTGTGGTGACACATCCTGGGTCATGCTTTAATCACAGTGAAGCTGGGCTGTAGAACTCAGAGAGTGAGCACGGTGAATTTTGCCAAAGATGGAGGCTCCCTGCAGAGTTTTCATCCCCTCATGAGGACTCCTACACTAACACTGGTCATGAAGATGCCACCGCAGAATGAAACAGGGAACTCAATATGAGGGAACCACATTGAGACGAGAATTTCTGCTTATCTTCCGTGACTAAATATGATGTCCGCCTAAAACTGCTGAGGGAGCAAATTTATCAAGCTACAGTGCACGATAATAACACCGTGCTGCATGCGGCGCTGGATTACTGAATGTGTGAAAGCTGTAATTATCTCAAAGAAAAGAACAATGCAGGGGAGTATTTCATTACCACTTTGTTTCAGGGCAGAGCAGTCACAGTGTGTCTGTGTTGAAGCTGGTGAGGAGACACTTTTTCACTCAGTCTTACAGAAACAGAAATCAGCCAAGTGCCTCAGTTGCATTTGGCTGTTTCTTCCTTCAGCAGATCATCTCCTGGGGTTTAAACTAACTTTCACATTCACTTCCTAGTATTTTCCCCCAGAGTTTTAGAATAGTTTCATGACATTGGTTACACATTTATAAAGAACATGTGCCTCAGCAAACTCCTACACAACTATCACTTCTCTTGTTCTCATTGTGTTAGTGTAAAAGCTATTTAAAAATATAGATGCAATATTCTTGTATATTTTATGTTTCTCCTCTTTGGCTGTTGTTTAACTTTCTATTTCTTATCACTTTGTTTATGCTAAATAGACTAGTAAAGGTTTTGTAGTTTTACTTTTCATTTTAAGTAGCCAGGAAAGCTTGTCTCTATTTAAACTTGTGTTATCCATGTGCTGGCCAAGATGTATCCTGCCAAGACAGATATAGGTACAGTGGCTCCTTGAGCAGGACAATAAACCTTTATCTGTTCAGTCACTGGTCTGAACAAGATCAGCACAGTAAAATAGGAAATGCTTGTTGCAGTTTAGTGTGTGGGTCGTTTTTGTGCCTCGAGGAGAAGAATAATTCCCAACATCGATCTGAACAAAGTTTCACTTTTATTTAATTATTTCTATGAGATAGAACAGACAGTTTACAGCAACCACTGAAATAAATAGGCGTTTTAGATATTTAGGTATAGGGCATAAACTAATGGGTTTAGTAAATAGTATTTCATGTCAAATGGCTGCTGTGAAAAGAGTCTATACAAATACATATCACTATTTTATTATCCCTTATGTAAGTGCTAAACATCGATCCATCCAGCACAAATTTCCATTTGGTGGGGTTCACCCTGAGCTAGTCACAGTCTTTCACCGGGCTGACGTATAAACCACCATCCACACTCACATTCACACATATGGGCAACTTTGAGTCTTCAGTTGATCTACGTGTGTTTGGACTGAGGGAAGAAGCCAGAGAAATCCCACACGTGCACAGGGGCATTAGGAGAACGTACAAACTCCACACAGAAAGTTCCTGGTTGGCCATTAGGGTTTGAACTCAGAAGTTTCTCGCTGTGAGGCCACTGCACTAAATTTTAAACAGTTATCTAGTGGTGTACTTCTATTCAGTCCTATTCCGAGTGGGATTAATCCTCTATGGGCATATCCAACCCTGTCCCTCCCACATTCTGTGTAAGCATTAATAATGAATGAATTTTATTGGGCCCATTTTTAACATAAGTACTAAATAAATTGACATGATATAGGCCTTAAAACTAGACTTGACATCATCTCGTCTACAAGAAAAGCCTCAAATTAAATTTGAATAACAATGCAGGTGTCAGTTCAAGGCTCTAATCATTTCAGTTTGTATTGTGCTTTGGGGTTCCAAATGATATTACCAAACAAATGTTCGATTAATCAGATTTCCACAAACGGATTGCCACATGGTGAACCAGGGGTCTCTGACCCCCCCTGAGGTTTGGGGGCCTTAAGGCAGCTGCTCAAGTTATCCAGCTGGTAATCCGACCTTAGTCGTATCCCACAGCAAAAGTCAACGCTTTTAAAACGTGTAATGAATGAGGGACAAGCAGGAAACAAATCTGTTTCATCCATCTTTGATATAACAATGTTTGTGATTCCTTCCACTACTATGACTCTACTACTACTACTACTACTACTACTACTACTACAACTACAACTACTACTAGCCTCACACTATTATGATAACTATGTTTTTTTTACTACTGCCACTGACTTAAGTACATTTAAGTGTACTTTACCTATTTCACTTGAGAAGTATCTTGTGCAACTTTACGATGACAACAAAAAAACACAAATGACCTCATAATGAGACAAAACAGCGACAGAGACTCAAAGTGACAACAAATACACATAAAACTAGCCCAAAGACGCTCAAAACAACTACAAAGAGACACAACACAACAACCAATAGTTGAAAAAGAATAAAACATTGGCGCTAAATGACCACAAACAGGCAGGAATGGCTGAGAACAAAACAAAGGGGCTACAAAGAGGAACAAAGTGACCACAAAGAAACACTAAACAACCACAGTCGCAAAGACACACCAATGACAACAGACAGGCACAACAGGGAGACACGAAAGTCAAAAATCACAGCAGCCAAGCAACCTAAAAAAGCTTTATTAACATAATAAACATAACATTTAACCACCATAATTGTATTGGATGTGTACAGATTTGTAGGCATCAGACAGAGCTGAATAAAAGGTGACTGAAAATAAAGATTTGATGGATTAAAACAGAGAAAAGTTAACATGGTATTTTTTTCCATAAAGTGAGTGGAGGAAGCCAAATGACAAATTTCCTCTTGACTTGTACTTTCCAAGGTATGATAACAGTGTGTTGGACAAGTTCATGTCTTTTGTTTCTCATGTTTGTACTCTTTATTTCAGGGGCAGAGCCACGAGGCACTGTGGACCCAGCTGAAAGTGGATTGGCCCCTGAGGTGTCCCTGTTCTGACAGTAGTCTCTTTTCTTATAAATAAACCAACCACTTACTGACAACACAAACAATGTAATATGTTGATTTTTTAACATAAAAAAACAAAACTAATCTGAACAGCCTAAATAGTGGGGCCCCTCTGTGGCCCCTGATTTGGACAAAACCTAGATCCGCCACTGTTGAATA